ATTTGCCTCTTCTGGACGTTTTACATAAATGGAATCATGCAATATGCTTTGTGACTAGCTAGTTTGACTTAGCATAATGCTTTCAACATTTGTCCACACTGCAACATATATCAGTACTTCATTCTGTCTTATGGCCAAATAAAATTCCACTGTCTGAGTGACCACATTTTATCTATCCATTCATCAGCTGATAGACATGGGGTTATTTCCACCTATTGTGAATAATGCTGTTGTGAGCATTTGTGTACCAGTTTTTGTTGGGAGAGTATTTTAATTTGCGGTTTTGAGTATATGTTTAGGAGAGGAATTGCTTGATTCTATGTTAATTTTATGCTGAAAATATTAATGAACATCAGACTCCTTTTCCAGGGGCTCCACCATTTTACATTCCCATCCACCATGTATGAAGGTTCAAGTTCCTCCATATTCTCACCATTTCATAAGCCCATTTCAAGTAGCCTTTATAGCACTTTAAGAACAACAATGGCATTAGTAGCCAACACCTACTTTGTATCAGATACTCTTCCAAGCACTTTACATAAATGAATTTACTGACTCTTCATAGGAACACTATGACATAGGAACTCTTATTTCAGATGAATAATTGAGACCCAGAGAAGATAAGTAAATTGCCTAAGTTCACACAATTAAAAAGTGTCAGAGCCAAGACTTGAATCCAGGAATTTTGACCCCAAATTTGTACTCTTGACACAGAGACAACAGGCCTCTTTAGTAATAGATAATAGGTCACATTCTAAGGGTTTTATACCCATTTTCTCACTTCATCTCACAAAATGCCAATGAATTAGGTACTATTTTTTCACCTTCTATCCCATAGATGAAGTGACTAAGCCATAGAGAGGTTAAGTACTTACTCAAGGTCACATGGCTCATATTTGTGAAATGAAGATGTAAATCTAGATCAAGCATGCTTTGCCCCTTTGTTCTTTGGAACAGAGCTGAAGCTCAAGCAACTTTAGTGGTAAATGTAGAAAGGAAAACAATATTTATAAGTAGTCTGCACACTTAGAGATAAAAGGTGCAGGAAACAGAATCACCTTGACCCTACCGAATTCTCAGTGATGCTGGCAGATATTTGCAGTTAAAAAGTAAAATTAGCTGAGAGGTTTAGGTGGAACTCAGTGACATGGGGGGTGGGCTTTTTTGGTAGATAAGTAGAACATTGTCCAAATAGGAATGCATTTCCACTGGATTGTCATCAGCTGTCACTGTGTTAAAGCAGAAGTAATGGTTCCCTTTGAAAATGGTTTCCAATTACACTATTGTTTTAAAAAACTAACAATTACAGGGGTGCCTGGATGGCTCAGTCAGTCAAGCATCTGACTCTTAATTCGGCTCAGGTCATGATCTCAGGGTCCTGAGTCCATGCCCTGCATAGAGTCTGCTTGGGATTCTTTTTTTCTCCCACTCCCTCTGCCCCTCTCCCTCCAAAAAACATTTAAAAAATCAACAGTTACATTTGATATTTTGTATTTTTCAGGTAAAAAATAAATGAAAGACTCCGTGGATAATGTGCTTGCTTTGATTAATGAAATGATGAGAATGGATTTAGAAAAAAATTGGGAAATACTTTACAACTACGGCTGTAGACCAAAACTTCAAATCTTAACATTGATTTTTGCTTTATCAAATTAACAAAGTCTATGTGGTGGTTAAGATTATAGGCTATCATCTTTATGGATTCATTCTGGACCTTGCCACTTGTTAGCTTTAATCAAGTTACTTAATTTTTCTATCTCAGTTTCCCCATTTGTAAAATGGGCATCATAATACCTAGCACATAGACTTGTACGGAGGATTGTAATGGGTGAATATGTATAAAATGCTTAAAACTGTTTCTGGCATGTAGTAAGATCTAAATAAGTGCTTGCTGCTTGTCTAGTAGTAGCTGTAGTAATAATAAAAATCATGATACAGTAATACTGAATGTTGTCAGGGAAGAGATAACATCATAAGTATTAAAATGTACCTACCCTGAAACCCCACTTTTAGATAATTATCTTAAATAAACAATTACATTTTCAATTACAAGTATGTTCACTGCAACTATGTTTACATAGTGAAAAACTGGAAGCCATAAATACTGTTGGCCTGCATGTCTCAACAAGGAATAATCCGTACAGTGTATGGTTGTGTGAAAAAATTCAGGCCATAAAATAGTACATTATAATTTCTTGTTTTGAAAAAGATGTGTATATTCATGTTTGAAGAAAGGCCTGGAATATCAGCTTATGAACATTAGCTTTCTCTGGGTTGTTGATCGTTTTTATGCCCTCCTGGTTATTTATGTTCTATTCATTTTGTCCTCAATGAGCAGGTATTATTTGTGTAATTTTAAACAGTCATTTTAAACTGTCAAAGCCTGCCAGTGTCTGATCGGCCTCATCTGGCAGCGAGCTTGGACACTAATGGTTTCAGCCCAGATTGTATATGAGGCACTTTACATTCTCCACAGCCATCCAGGGACAGAATCTCAATTAAAACATCAAGGTCTGCCTTCTGTGACCCCTTGCTGTTTTGGTTCCACCTATGAGCTGCTGTTGATTTGCATAGATTAAAGCTCGCTGGATAGTTGCCATTGTCTTGAAAAATGGAATGTGATCAGCATGGGGGAGGGAAAGAAAGGGAAAATTTGCATTTGTTTTATCGCACCCTCTTCTTGTTAATGCTCATTCAAGACTGCTTTGACCGCAGCTCAGTTGTTGGTTTGGTAATTTCCATGTTTTGTTTTGTTTTTTTGTTGTGATGGAGAAAACAATTTGAGCAGCAGCTTTCATAGGAGAAAATCCTTAGGAAAAGAGATGTCATATAGCCGGATCACGTGCCGTGGGATGTACCTAAGCTTAGAATGGCAGAATTTTCAAGAAAGAGCTGCCCAAGGGACACTCAGGTATTGCCTGCAACCATTATAAGTCCATGCTGACGTTTTGAGTGTCAGGAAGATCTTCCTCTGCCCTTCAAGGTCCTTCTAGATGGACTAAGAATCAAATAGATATGAGACAGATTAACAGGAGAACATCAGATTTAATGGTGTACTTACAGGGAATCCACACAGACAGGAAAGTCCAAAGATGGTGAGGCAACAGGAAGTTCTATGTGAGCTAAGGAGAGGGGTAAGGGTCTGAGGATACAAAAGGGAGGAGGGTGAAAGGAGTCTGTTAATAGCTCTCTTCCTAGCATAGACATTCCTTTCTAATGTGAATTTGAGGACCAGGAAAAGAGGTTTTCCTGCACACAGTGGGTTTTGATTACTTTTAACTCAAAATAGTGTTCATGCTGGAGTTCATGCCCATCTTGGGGCAACCTGTCTTCAGCTCCTCCTACACAAGAAACCAAAAGTACATGTCCTTTTTGTATTTTGCATCATTAAGCCATCTTTCTTTTTCTTGTTTTCTCTTTGTAATTTTCTGGTTTTTTTTAAAAAGATCGTATTTGTTTATTTGTCAGAGAGAGAGCACAAGCAGGAGGAGAAGCAGGCTCCCCACTGATCCGGGACCCCAATGTGGGACTGGATCCCAGGACCCCAGAATCATGACCTGAGCAGAAGGCAGATGCTTAACTGACTGAACCACACAAGCATTCTTCTTTGTAATTTTCTAAAATTTGTACATGATTTTAAAACTTGAACCCCATATTCATAATGTTAAAAGTGCTTCACCTTGGTGTATGTGCTCAGGGTTGTCCACAGTGCCATCACATGTAACAGGAATCATTGGTTTAAACCATGCCTCCTTTCCCATAGCTATCCCTCTCATTCAGTTCATTATTTAGTCACTACCATGTCCAGGGAACAATAGAACAACATTTTAAAACCATCTAGACTAGAGACTTTTAAAAGCCTGCTCCAGGAAAGTTGCCAGGGCATTGAAGGAACATCTAAAGGAGAGGATGGGAGGAGCAAAGCAGAAGGCCATTTCTGCTCTTGAGAGCCAAGACACAAGCCAATGGTGGGGAGAAAGGGAGAGAAACTAGGTAAAACCAGGGAAGATAATATTAAGATAGAGCTAGCTTTGAGTAAACAGATATGTCAACAGTGGCTGTGTTTGTAACCTCCCATCTTTCCTTATGGTACCCCCTTTGTTTCTGGCACCCCTGATTTAGCTTCCACCCAGATGCTTAGTTTTTTCTTAATCAAAGGTCTACTAATCTCACCAGAAAGAGTAACTTAAAACATCTCTAAGCACTGCATTGTAAACTGAGTTTCCCAGAGTCCCAGGGTTCTGAGATGGTACTTTGGGGTCCACTGTGGAAGATGAGTAGGGAAGGCTAAGCAGGTGGGCTTTGGGCTCCCTGGTTTTGCTAAACAGATAAATTCTATTCCTATCTGTTATACACACAGGCTGCTATGAAAAGGTCTAACTTCTTTATTTTTTAAAGATTTATTTATTTATTTTAGAGAGAGATGGAGAGAGAGAGAGAGCATGAGAGTGAGGGCAGGGAGGGGCAGAGGGAGGAGAGTGAAACTTCAGCAGCTCCTCACTGAGCTCCCAGCTTGACATGGGTCTCAATCTCACGACCCTGAGATCACGACCTGAGCTGAAATCAAGAGTCGATGCCTAACCAACTGAGCCACCCAGGGCCCTGGCCCAGCTTCTTAGGGAAAAAAAAAAAAAAAAACCACAACACAAAAATTAAACTAAAACTGTCACCCTAAGGTGTCACTCCTTCTGGGAGGGAATGGAGTCTAAGAGCTACAAGTTAGGATCCGGGATGAGGCAGCCTGCATATAATTCCAATTTCATCACAGCAGTGGCCTTGGGCAGATGGCTGCATATTCTCTGGATTTGAGATTTCAGCAATTTTCAAATACAAGAAAATCCTCATTGCCTCCTAAGGCTGTCATGAGGATCAAATTCAGTGGTAGTATATGAAGGGCTTTGTACTATTCCTGCCATATAAAAAGGACAAGGTTAATGTTAGTTCTTACTAGCTACATTTATTAAGGTCTTCTAGAACCTTGCTACTCAAAGTGTGGTCCAGTGCTTGCTTCAGCAGCATGTGTACTAAAACTAGACCAATACAGGGAGGATCAGCACGGCTTCTGTGTAAGGATGACATTCAAATTCGTGAAGTATTCCATATGTAAAAAAAACTAAAAAAAAATATAAATTGTGTGTGGTCCATAGACCAACACCACCAGCATTCTCTGGGAGCATGTTAGAAATGCAGAATCCCAGGCCCAGCTACAGACCGACATCATCAGAATCTGTACCTTCACGACATTCACAGGTGATTCCTATCCACATGACAGTTAGAGAAACACTGCTTTGGAAGACACGCCAGACTAAAAGAATCGATCTTTAATAGTGGTATTTTAGAAGCTGTTTGCAAGGTGCTGGATGTGTTTCCTGGTACCCCTTGTGTGGAAAACTTGTTCATCTGTCAAGGCATAGCTCAAGCTGTCTGACCCACCTATCCCACCACCCACGCCCTCCTGGAACTGAACACTTCTCCCTTTGTCCTCTCCTTGACTCCAAACTGATTCTATCTCATAGTGCCAAAACACATACAGCAGAGTTGGAATGCATACCCAGCAACTCAGATGTGCAAAAATGTTCTCTAGAACTGAGCTAAACTACCCCCAGGAGCTTCCCATCCTGCTGGGTGGGGTGGGGAGGGGAGTGCAGACACACAATTCATTGTGTCAGTTGAAAGAATCTGCCTCTGGATGAATGCTGAGTCTTGCATATTTTAACTTCATTTTCCCTCCTCTTATAAAACTCACGGTGTCTGGGAGCAGTGGGGCTGAGGAGAATAGAGCCTTGGATCCACGCTCATTCTTGTGTGTGCTCGGTGTTTTCTGCTACAGAGTGGCTCGTCTGGAACAGTCCTTACACCCATATGTCTACTGAAGTGCAGTGGGTCCCTTCTGGTCTTTTAGGGACTTCATTGGTTGTACCTGTTGTTAAATCCAGAGTCCTAGCTGTTTGCCCCCCTTTGGTTTTGTAACCTCTTCCTTCCCAACACGGGTCCTCTGGTGGCCCACGAGGCCTCTTGGCTCCTTCAAATCTTGGATGTTCTACACGCCACATGCGGGCTCTGAACAAACAGAAATGGTACGTCAGGCCCCTGAACTGAGAGATCTCCCTCCCCTGTGGCTGTCCTCCCATCAGGAGGCCAGCTTGTTCCAGCACCAAGGGAAATGCAGGTCTTCTCCGAGGGGATCCACATCTTTCCAGTTTGCTCCAGCTGAGGAACACCCCCCCGCCCGCCCCCACTGCTCGCTGCTTTGGTGGTTTCTAACAGGTCCTTCTGGTATCTGCCCACTTGCTCCTCTCCTTGCCTACTTTAACAGTTCTGTATCTCTTCATTTCCCAGGCAGGTGGAAATGTCCCTTGCATCCCAGACTGCATTCTCTTTACTCACTGTGGCTTATAGCATAATCCCATGCTTTGCTTTGAATATGTAAAGGGAGCTGCTGGTATTTGAAACTTCTTTTCTTCCCTGTAGAAACCTCACCCTCAAGATGATTATCAGTCAGAGCTTCTCCACCGTTTTGTGACCTGGCAACCCTCATTAGCTGTCTGATGTCCCCTTATGGACCCCTTCTCAGAATAATATGCTTCAGTAGATAAAATGAACTACAAAGGATTCCAATGAAAGCCAACCATACTGCAACATAGTTACAAAAATATTTTTTTAAATATTTTATTTACTTATTTGACAGACAGAGATCACAAGTAGGCAGAGAGGCAGGCAGAGGGAGAGGGGGAAGCAGGCTCCCTGCTGAGCAGAGAGCCCTACTCGGGGCTCGATCCCAGGAATCTGAGACCATGACCAGAGCTGAAGGCAGAGGCTTAAGCCACTGAGCCACCCAGGTGCCCCTACAAAAATATTTTTTAAAAATCATGACAGAATAGTACCTATGCCTCTTTGTTAGTGGCTTAAATGATAAAGTCTTGTGGCAGATCAAGTAACTACCACAATTTCAAACTAATCATGAGGGTAAATAATGTTTTGAGAGAACTGTGGCAGCATTATTGTGACAAGAAAATGTCCGTGATAGCTACTGACAGCCAAGTCACAGGTCTGGCTAATATTAGTGTGGTCTGTTGCTGGCATCCATAATGAAAGTTAAAACTAATTTTTGGCAGGAGATTAGTAAAAATTAAGATAGACTTTGTCCTTTGGGTACTTTATTTAGCTGGGGATCTCATGTTTAAAAAAAAAAAAAAGCCTTATCTATAGCCTGAAAATCCAAAGCCTAACCTGACAGTCAGAACTAAATAACGACTTCTTGTTCCAGCTGGTATCCCCCTCACCCACAGATTTGGTGACCCCCAGGGCATCAAGATTTACAGAGAATGAAAGATATGTCTGGGCAACACTTTTAAAATGGCTATAGCCTTTACACTATTTTATTGGCATGGATTTGTTTTCATATCTCCTTCACCAGGACCGTAAGTCCTGTGACAGTGGGGACTGTGTTTTAGTCATTGTTGTCTCTTAGGAGCTCACCTGACACATGGTTGGAGATCACTGTCTAACAGACTAACTAGCTTTGCTGGCAAATCTGCAGGACCTAGCAGCCTGTTTAGCCATTCATCATTCACACTCTAACTGTTGCAAGCTCACCATCAAAGACTTGGTCACTCATCTCAATTCCAGTGCACACCCAATACTCAGCTCTTGGTCCGTCTTCCCTTCAACGCTCATGCACAGGCAGGCACACACATCACAGGAGCTGGATGAGTCCCTTAACCAACAGCAGTTGTCCCAAGACTGGTACCTCCTATTCATTCCACATATGATTATGATACCCTTACTATGCACCAGGCACAGAGCACAGAGCTGGGGGATAGAGAGGCAAGTAAGCCAGACATGGTCCACACTCCTCCACCATGGAGCTTACAGTTAAGCACGGTGGCCTTTGAATTGTGTTCTTCACCCTCTTGGGTTCATGGGTAGTCCTCAGAGTCTGAGGTAGAGAGACAAAGCTGTCAGAGCTTCTATCTAGGTCCCCCTTCCTACTTCATCGACAGTGACTATACTTTCTATTTTATATATTGAGGTTCACTTTTAGAAATCATTTCACAGCTAAGAAGTATTTAAAAACCACTGCCCTAGTAAAGTTTTTCTCAACCTTAAAGTCTTCAGGGAAGGAGATTCTAGAAGACGAGTCCCTGTCCCCTTGGATATCCGGGCATCAGTATGTTTCTGCCTTTGATAAGGTAGGGAGAGGGGCTAAAAGGAAAGGGGCTGTGTGGCCTCTGTCCCTCTTTGTGGGCCCCAGCCACAAGACCTATAGGAAGGAGATGTAGATTTTGCAGAGAATGGAATTTCTGGAGTATTCATGACACAGAAGCCAAGCTGATGTCTTCTCCCTGGCACCCCACTTCCTTTCTCAGCCTTTATAAGTGAGATGGCAGAGAGAATCAGGAATGCAACCTTTCCAAGGCCAAAATGTGGTTAATTCCATTGATGGCTGAAAATCAAGACCAAAACTTTTAATACAGAATGGTGCCCTTTTTAGGCTGCCTTGCTTGGATGGGGAGTGCAAATTGCAAAACATATGGGGCCTGTGGAGACTGTGTTTGGAAACATTTGAGACACGTGGTGGGAAAACATTTTCCCAAGAGCTGCTTCCTCCAGGATTGCATTATCTTGTTCTCTCCACAAGGCAAATGCGGGAACAAAGAATTTGAATTCAATTTTAAGCAATTCAAATTCTAAGCAACCTCTTCCTTCCACTGCCATCCCACCCTAAGCCTTAAAAGGTCAGACAGGGATGGTGGCCCAGTTTGAGTGGTGAGGGATGAGAGGGGTGAGGACCGGACAGAGGTGAATCATGATGGCTTACATGTTGTGTGACAAGAAGCTATTGTTTGCTCATTTTTTTTCATTCATTCAACTACTTCCTGAACATCAGCTGTGTGTCAGGTACCCTGTGAGTGCTGGAGATGCAGAGACACAGACAAAGTCTGCCTTACTGGAGCAGGGGCAAGTTACAGTAGCTCTGTAAGTAAGTATTAGTTCACTCCTTTATAAAGCCAGGTTTATCGGAGTAGCTCCCTCATGGGGATTGTACAAGGAACAAAAGGAGTTAAAGCCCGGGTATGCTCAACTTAAATATTTTGTGGATTTCATATTAAAGAGAGATTTTTCTCTGTTCACTTACATGCTTAAAAGTTTATGAATGTTCTAGGAAAAGACAGAATTTGGAATCTATCCATAGGAATTTACCTGTGAATTCGGTCAGCTACTGACCAAAGATTTACTGCCCAGCTTTGTTAGAGGGCCTGAATTTCACAACTACAGCTACTTTTTCACAGTTAGTTGTTTGTTTCCTGATTAACTTTGGTCCTTGGGGGCATCCTGTCTATCCAGAAACTCAGGTCCTGGCCTTCCCCAGAAGTTACAATATTAGTGGTATTATTCCTAAGAGTATGGAAGGCCTATGGGTCTTTCCTTAGAGTTCAATTTTAGGGTCTGCGTGATGAGCATTCTTGCTTTAGAGTCCCCTGTTTCTTGAGTATAAATAGGACACACCCTGAAGTCAGGCTTAGGTGAGCCCATGCAGTTGGGGACTTATTTCTAGCCTAGGAAAGGGGAAAATTAGATTACATGCTGTGCTTAATTCGAAGACTGGCAGCAATTTTTATAAATATAAATATATATTTATATATATTTATATATATATTTATATATGTAATAAGTATATTATATATATATGCCATATATATATGTCATATATATGTCATATATATGTCATAGCCTTTGGTATAGCTTAATAACCTATTGAAAACAGCCACTTTGGGCTAGGGCCAAAGAGGAGTGCCCATGGGTTTGGTGAGAAGCCCAATGTAAATGCAGTAGTATGGTGTTTAAAAGCAAAGGCTCTGGAGTTGGACTGGCTGGGTTCTAAATCCCAACTTGGCTACTGCTCAACTGTGTGACCTTCAAGAAAGCCATGAACACTGAGCCTCCATTTCTTCATCTCTAAAATGGGGTAATTATAGTATCTACCTTATAAGGTTGTAAACATAGATAAAGAGAGCCTTGCACATAGTAAGCATGGTAGATTATAGTACTGTTCGCCTATATTTCTTACCCCTTCTTGAAGTGCCTCTCTCTGTGGAATGATTA